GGGGGAGGAGGGTTGGGGGTGAGGGGAGGGAGAGGGAGAAGGGACTTGAAATAAGCTTGTTCCCTAACTAGAACTAATAAAAAAATTGGAAAATACCATCATACTAATAACTAAATTTACAGAAATGAATATTATACAGTGATAAAAATTCTATCCCTAGCATCCCTGCTCTCCCAAAAGATATTTAAGCATACAAAACAATATTACATAAACTGATAAGAGTAGTTATCAATGGATGGCACTATAACTACTTTACTTACTTTCTAAAAACTAGACTGCAACAAAAAGTATTTTAACATAGGCAAAGATGGTAACATTTTTCTATGCTGCTTATTCTCTTAAATTATAAATCTAAACTTAAATGAAATTATGAAAGAATGAATTAACTCCAATATCATGATTTTTAAACTTGATTCCCTACTTCACCTAAGAATTATAAAAAAGCCCTGCTTATCCATATTTATCCATAGGATTCCACAGATAGTTTAGTTCTTTAGAGAAACATAGCTCATTATAATCCCCCAAAGCATCAGGATAAAGCGTGCGTGCGTGTGTGTGGTGTATATATATGTTTATACGTGCATGTGCCTGTGTATGTATGCACATGCTTCTGGAATCCAGAGGAGGATATTAGTGTCTTGCTCTGTTTCTCTACCTTACTCCCTTGAGCCAATGTCTCTTACTGAACCTGGTACTAGGTAGGTAACCAGAAAGCCCCAGGAAATCTCCCGTCTTACACACACACACACACACACACACACACACACACACACCACATGCGCGCACACACGCATGCACGCACGCATAAACACAGTTTTTACCCAGATTTTGGGATCTGAACTTAGATCCTTTGCTTATGCAGCAAGTACTTTTACCTGCTGAGTCATTTCTCTGGCCCTGGAGCCAAGGATTTTAATTCATTCTAGCCTAGTCATTAGTGGGGTCCCTGAGTCACTCTAATAAAAGGTATGTGCATTTTAGGAGGATAGGATTATCTTTAGTTAGCTTTGAGTCACAAAACTATTTATAAACTAATTTATTGTAAGACCAGAATCCATACCACCTTTGCTTTTCCCAGAACTGACTGGTCTTCAGAGATGAATAAAGAATGTCAGACAATATCTGTAAAGTATAACATTATTGTGCATCTTGATCAAACCTTTGTGGAGATACAAAAAATAACTCAATTGAAAGGAATCAAGAAGTTTAAAATGTCATAGAGAAGAATGTTAACTATAAACTGGATGAAAGGTTTCTGAATAATTAGAGGCTTGACAATGATACATAATGAAATGAAAGAAAATGTAATGATGTATGTTTCAAGCTCCAACTTTAGTTTTTTGAGAATGGAATAGTGAGTATTGAAAACAACACATATATCAGAAAGATCATGGTGACATTACACAGGAGTGGGGAAGGGACTAACAAGAGGAAGCTTGGAAAATAGGGTAGAGCTGTAAAAGAGAGGGATAAATAAAACAAATTATACTGACACGAGAATGAAAAAGTCATAACTAGACCCATTATATTGTATGATTACTTAAAAATAATTCCAGTAGAAAAACACAGATAATTATCTGGGAGTATTATCACATGTGTAATTTAGTATTCTGGAGGCAGAATCAGGAGGATCATAGGTTTAAGAGCAATGCCACACTATACAAGAAGATCTTACTGAACAACAAGCAGGGGCATCTGGAGATTATCTCAGTGGGAGGGGTTTGTGCAGCAGCACAAGGCCCTAAGTTTCATCCCTAGCATTGGAAAAAATAGAACGTAATATTTTACATTGTGTGGTCAGAACTATATTTGGTGCAAAAGAGAAAAAAATCCATACAAATTTCTTTCCTACAGAAGAGGATAAAATGGAATCTAATCTCTAATCAGGAGGTTGCTAACACAGAGCACCATATTAAATACCCTTTCCAGATTAAATGGACACTCTGCTTTTCTAAAAATGTTCAAAGTGAAACTTGGCCGACAGCCCTTCTACTGATCTTTAAGTCTGATAATACTAAAGGACTTTGGGCTCATTACATCTTGCCTAGTAATTTAATAACTAGCTGAGACTTATCACTTATAAATGATGGATAGAATCGATCTTATGTTTTCAGATAAGAAAAATGAACTACAAGGGCAATAGCTAATTTCACTGAACACACATTAAAGACTAAGGGGCTTTGATTCCTGTTGGCTATAGATACTGATTTGTCTTATTGGGGAATCTTTTCATGTTATATGTGACCTGTAGCAATGCTAGAATTAAAGGTGATAAGGTAGCAATATGGAGTACTGAATGTAATGATATACAAACATATGAATATGTATGCATTTAGTACTTTATAGTGCTGTCTTCACCACACATTGTAAACTATCAATACATACACAAATGTATCAGTATGCAACATATATATTAGTGTGTGTGCTCATGTGTGTATGTGTATTTCTTTTCTGAGACTGTGATAAAACACTATGGCCAACACAACTTACAGAAGGGAGAATTTATTAGGACTTAAGAGATCATCAGGGCAGGGAGGCATGGAAGCTCGAGCAGGATGCAGAGAGATAACATCTTCAACCACATGCAGGATTCAGAGAGAATGAGAGAGAACTGAAAATGGATAAGACTATGAAACCTCAAAGTCTGTCTCTAATAACATACTTCCTCCAGGAATTCTGTGTCTCCTAAACCACTGCCAACAGTGATACCACCTGGGAACCAAATGTTCAAATACTCAAGCCTATGGGGGCGGCATTTCTCGTTCAAGCAGCCACATATGGAGAATATACAGGAAAGGTTAAGACTTCCACCAAAGGCAGTAATTGCTTATGAGCCTCATACAGCACAGTGAATAAGGATTGCTCCACCACTAAAATGGGTTTGTTGTTAGAAAAGATAATTTCTGAATGTTCTCATAGGGCACTGTGCAAGCACCTGAGATTTGGAGCTGATTCAAAGTGTTATGGAAACAGGCTGGCCTGTATTTAAGTATGATTTCACATTGGAGAATGACTGAATGGACAGAGATTGATAATTCAGGAATGATAAAAAGTGTTCTAAAATTGTGCTGATGAACGTACCACTTTAGAAACATGTTAACAAAACTTGGAATTACATTCTTTGAGTGAAATGAACAACATGTCTTAGTAAACTGTTATTTAAAAATTGATTCCATTTCAATGTTGCTAAGATGGAGCAGTCTCATTCTCTTTTGTTTTGTACTCCTACATTCACTATGGAAAACAATATTCAGGGCTAGAAACTAGCTCAGCAGCTAAGAGCAGTTGCTGTTCTTGCAGAGAACCCAAGCTTCTTTCTCAGCATCCACATCAGGCAGTCCATTACTCCCTGTAACTCCTGTTTCAGGGGATCAAAACCTTCTGGCCTCCATGGGAACTCACACTCACATGGTAAACATACAGATACCACACACACACACACACACACACACACACACACACACACACAGAGAGAGAGAGAGAGAGAGAGAGAGAGAGAGAGAGAGAGAGATCACATACATATAATTTAAAAAAGTTACAATAGATTTTAAAAATCAGTGCTGGAGTGCTCACTATGCTAACTGAAGAATTACAGTACATATCATCTTCAAAATCCATAAATGTTTTCCTGGGCCACTGGGAAATAGCCTAGCAACATCACCATGACAAACAAATTTTATCCATCTTCAATATTCAAAAAAGAGCTTTCAATCTATACATAAACAAGCAAATATCCTGGTCTTGTACCAGTGTATGTATGTGTACATTTTGCTTATTTAAAGAGTATGATACACACAGTATTGTATCAGTTTTCTTTGTTTATAACATTATTTTTTGCTGTACTAACATTTTATAATCACTACATTTTAATTTCTTTGCTTTTCTATTTGAGAGTGTTAGTGATTTTTATTTCTGTTCTTATTTTTCCTTATAAAACACTGACGGAGGAGATTTCATTTTACCTAGTCAGAACCGTTAAGATCAAGAGAACAACTGACAACAAATGCTGACTAGGATGTAGAGAAGGGTGACACTTCATTCACTATTGATGGGATTGCAAACTGGTGCAGTTACTTTCAAATCAGTGTGGAGCATCTTCAAAATATTTTTAAGAGAAAATTTACCTTATGACCCAGCTAGACCACTGTTCTGCATGTGCCTAAAGGATTAGACTCCAGCAGATACTTGCTCAGCCATACTCATGATACTCTAACCACAATAACTAGGAAAAGGAAACAACTAAAATGCCTTTCACAAGATGGATGAATAGTGGAAATGAGGTGAATATTCATATTATTTGGCTACAAAGAAAAATGGATTCATGAAATTTTCAGGTTAATATATAGAATTAAAAGAGTGTACTGAGTCAGGTAATCCAAACCCAGAAAGAAAATGTTGAATTTTTTGTTTATTTGTGGTTCCCAATTCTTAACCTGTAGATGTGAGTGTATTGCCTCTGCTATCCACAAATACCAAGAAAGTAAAAGGGGACCTGTGAGAAGGGGGCAAGGGGAGCTCTAGGGAGAGGAATAACGGAACATGGGTGCTATGAAAGGAAAAACAGGGGGAAGACTTGGTTCTCAGGGGGAAAGTAAGGGCAACACAGGAGGCGGTGGGAGGATAAATTAAACTAAATATGTCTGAAAAGGCCAAGGGGAACCAATTTATTTTGTGGTTACTCAAAATTAGAGAATATATGCATAAAAGTTTATTGCATACATATATACTTATAGATAATTGAAATTATGTCAATTGGGTTGATAGTGTTCCCCAAAAGCCAGAGACTATCAGCAAAAACGCCAGTACCAGGCATAGGAAACCTGCTTTCAAGTTGGTGATAAGGGAAATCCAAGTGAATCCCAAAAGAATACAGTTATTGCTGTTGTTCTTGGTTGCCTCCCAGAGGTTGAATATACATCCCTACTGCTGACAACATCACACACTTAATACAAGGACTCAGGATATTTGAGCTGGATCTAGCCTGAAAACCTCCTTCCTGCTGTCTAACCTCCATAGAACCAGAAAGTACTATGTAATTTGCCAAAGGAAGGAAGCAGTCCATAGTCCTACCCAGGTATAATGCTGATAATCACAACAATGAGCAGCATGGCTCACCTGAAAGGTGAAATAGTGGCACTTATATTCTGGAAGTAACTAACACTCATCTAATTGAACATGAGGCCCACTCAGTAGGAAGGAATTCATGTCTGGCACAGTAAAGTTTACCAATTAACCATGGTTAGAAGTCATGGACCCTAGGGAAGAACCTATTATTGCCACTTTAATAAACCAGTATAAATCTTAACGGGATTGTAAATCCCGTTATATCCTTATATCTGAAGATAAGTGTAGCTCTTACTTCTCATAAAAAAACCCACTTTTTTCTCAGTAAACAGAGAGCATTACAGAAAGTCACAACTTTTCAAAAACATAGAAGAATTGACTGTTCAGTGCCGAGATCGAGCTGACCCATTAACAATACAACCTCCTCATAGAGGGCTCTGGGAACACTGCAGAACAGGGGTTAGGAAGAGTCCAAGTGCTACAGGACTAAGACATCTGCTTTGAGATAGTGTCTTCTATATATGGAAAGAGAATCCATGAACTTTGCATAAATTCATAATTATGAATATCCAAGGGCAAGGATCAGTGGGATAAAAGATTGACTCTAAACTCTTGAAGCCAATTTAATTAATTAATAAGTTATTATCATTACTTTTGTGGATTGGTGGTGGAAAGGCTCACGGCCTTTAACATGATGGATAAGTGGTTTACCAGTGACCTATATCCCAGCTCTAATTTCTTTAAATATAAAACATTTACTTCAATATTTATTTTGCATTAAACCTATATTCACGAAGAAGTTATAAATTAAAGATGACACCCACTATTTTCTTCAAATGAATTATGAGTAAGAGCTGTTTATGAAACAACAAGACTGGCTATGTGTTGATCATTATTTGAAGTTAGCTGTGGTACTTGGGAATTCATTATACCACTTTGTATTTGTGGTTGACAGTTTATTAATTAAAAGTTTTGCCTCAGTTGAATGTGGTAGTACATTTCTGCATTACTAGCACTGGGCTAGTTGAGGTAAGATGATCATGCATCAAGACCAACTTGGGCTACAGAGTGAAACCCTGTTTTAAAAACAAATGTATATGATGCCAAAGTGAATATTACTTTGGACAACTAACCACAATCTGCTTTTAGCAGGTTTTACAAGATTTTATCCCCAGTTAGAGTAATTAGAAGCTAAATATAAATCAAAATCCCAGTGAAAAAAAGTTCATTCATAATTCACCCAGCTCAAACAATGAGAGGCTAACAATGCCCCAGGAATAAAATGAGGTGTATCACAAATTCTTTCAGAAACTTTAACAGTAGCTAGCCATGGAACACCCATTTTAGGTACACTTGGCAGGAAAGCTTCTTATTTTTGCCAATCTGATCTACACAGTGGGTTTCAGGGCAACCAAGGCTACATTGTGAGATGGTATCTTTCAAAGAAAGAAATAGTAAGGGCTAGTTGTGTAGCTCGGTGGTAGAGCACTCGTGGAACATACTGTATGAACTCACATCCATACCAAGTACCACAGAATAAAACCCAACAAGCCACATAATTTGTGCTTTCGTAGAAAAGCCAGAATATGTGCTACTCATATTTTTATGGTGAAGCTGTCCAATTCTGAGTGACTTTTTACTCATGCAGCACGCGTTTTGTGATTCTGAGAAAAAAAAGGTAGAAAACGAACGTAGCTTTTGTCAGGAATCACAGCACTGGATGAAGTGAGACTTAATCAATCATCTTATGAAACTCAACGTCCACCAAAGGGCTGTGGGGGGGGGGTCTCAAAAAATGCTCTTTACCTCTGTCCTTCAACCTGTCTGAAAATTTCCAGCACCCGGAAAACAGTCTTTCCGAAGCTACGCCCCTCTATTTATACCCGTGCTTTTTCCCGCCCAGGCTTTACCTTGCTCCAGCGAATCACATGGTCCAAGACGGTATTGTCTACTAATACCCAGAGTTTGGTGAGAAAGTTAGGAACTGTCTTGCAGAATTGCTCCATGTTTCGGGATGTCACTTCCTCAAGTAAATGTTGTTCTGGACAACTGTAGGCAGCAGCAAAAACCTGAGCGAGGATTACCAGGAGAGCAAATTCACTTCTGGTCAAGCAGCAGTTTTACCTGACTAAAAGCTGATTAGCCGCCGGTCTTAAGAACTTTGCTTGGGGGCGGGCCTTAACTTCCCAGAGGACAATTCTCATTGGCTAGTTATAGGACTCTGATTTCTGCGCCTTCTGGCACGTGACTATCAGGGAACTTCCGGTGGAGGAAAACATGGGTAGTGTGAGGAAAAATACGCCAGGAGCAAAAACAGTAGGGGGCACCACTTTGGATGTTTTCTCCACTGTTTTCCTAGCTATGGATGCAACAATAAGAAAGAGAGTTTGCAAACTCCCTCTTTGTCCCTAGCAAAAGTTAGCTACTTGCTGCTAGAAGAACGCTGGATATGATATTACATAACATATATCATAATCTTTAAGGGAACAGGGACACTCATTATGTACAATCATGGTCTGGCAAAAGTGGTGTGGTACGGTACTAGGTTAGCATTAAATTAGCTTGACATTGCATATAGCTTGGCAGTAAAGATGAGGATATTACATGGCAATGCATTACAATGCATGGTTTTGATCTTTTCTCTGGATAGATGGTGAGAACTGGTTGATTTTTTTTTTTTTGTATTTGTTTGATTGGGCTTGTTTTTGTGTTTGTTTTTCAGAATCTCACTGCATAGCCGCAGTTGGCCTAACTCACTACGCCGTGCACAGGCTGTCCACGAGCTCATTGAATTCTAAATGCCTCTGCTTCGCTAGGTCTGGGATTAAAGATGCATGCCCCCGCATTAGCTGCTGAAAATTCTTCAATCTACCTGCCTCTGCTTCGCTAGGTCTGGGATTAAAGATGCATGCCGTCTGGGATTAAAGATGCATGCCCCCGCATTAGCTGCTGAAAATTCTTCATATGCAGTTTTGATGAAGTGAGACACTCCTAGAATATTAGAGCATTTCCTTCTGCTAGTGATAAGGTTTGAAAGGAAACCAAGATGAAAAAAATGTCAAAAAATATATGCAATGTCTTTTTTTGTTGTTGCTTTCTTATTTCCCTTTCATTAGGAAATAGTTTGCTAATGTCAAAAAATATATGCAATGTCTTTTTTTTGTTGTTGCTTTCTTATTTCCCTTTCATTAGGAAATAGTTTGCTAAAGGGCTGGAGAGAGAACAGTCATGTACTCACGCGGCGGATCTGAGTTCAGTCCTCAGCAACTGCATAAAAGCTGAATGGGGTGCCTGTGCTTGTAATCACAGTGATGAGGAGGCAGAAACAGGCATATCCCCAGAGCGAACTGTAAGCAAAAAGGGCCAGCCAAATAAACACACTATGGCCCTGAAACCACAACCAAAGAAATGTACACTAACCACGAAACCAGTTCCAAAGAAACACACTTTGACCCTAGAATCAGAGCCAGTGAAAGAATTTCACCCTGGCCCTAAAATTAGAACAAGAAGGCTAAAAAGGACCAGTGAAAGAAACACACTTTGGCCCTGAAACCAAAGCCAAAACTGACCCTAAACCAGTGCAGAAAACTAACCAATCCCTGAGCAGAAGATCTAGTCAGTCTGAGCTCAGGAAGTGAAATCTGACCAATCACCACCCTGGAAATCTCCCCGGAAAAACTCCGCCCCAGGAAGCCTTATATAAACCCTGTGCTGGTTCAGCTCCTGCTGTGCCACTGCCCAGCTGTCCTCTGCCACTGGAATGGAGCAGAGGAGAGAAGTTAACAACTTTTTAACACAGCCAGAGCAGAGCAGAGCTGAGCTAGCCAAGCAGGGCGAGGAAAACAATCCCCCAGCAAAGCAGAGTTGTTACACTGCAATCCAGGGGACCTGAGCCATACTCAACTTCACCAGGTAAGCCCTCCCATGCCAGAGCAGAGCTGTTAAACTGTGGAAGCCTTTCCCTGAAGCAGGGCTGTAAACAGCTATGCTTACAGACCTGTGGTATTCCTTGCTCCCCAGTGCCAGAATACCTTTCTTTTTTTCTTTCTCTTTATTTTTTATTTAAATTAGAAACAAGATTATTTTACATGTCAATTCCAGTTCCGTCTGCCTCCCCTGCGCCCCCTAACTAACAACCTACCTATTCCATACCCTTTCTGCTTCCCGGGGGGGGGGGGGGGGGGGCTTCCATAGGGGTCTTCAGAGTCTGTCATATCCTTTGGGATAGGGCCTAGGCCCACCACCTTGTGTCTAGGATTAGGGAGTATACCTCTGTGGGGAGTGTGCTCCCAAAGTTTATTCCTATGCTAGGGATAAGTGCTGATCTACTACAAGAGGCCCCATAGATTTCCCAGGTCTCCTCAGTGACACTCAAGTTCATGGTGTCTGGATCAGTCCCATGCTGGTTTTCCAGCTATCAGTCTGGGAACCAAGAGTTCCCCCTTGTTCAAGACAGCTGTTTCTGTGGGGTTCACCAGCCTGGTCTTGACCTGTTTGCTCATCACTCCTCCCTCTCTGCAACTGGATTCCAGTGCAGTTCAGTGATTAGTTGTGGGTGTCTGCTTCTACTTCCACCAGCTGCTGGGGGAAGGCTATAGGATGGCATAGAAGTCATTCATTAATCTCATCAGGGGAGGGCATTTAAGGTGGCTTTTCCTCTGTTGCTTAGATTGTTAGTTGGTGTCATTGTTGTAGATTTACAGACATTTCCCTAGCGCCCCATTTCCCTTTAAACCTATAATGGCTCCCTGTATTATGGTATCTCTTATCTTGCTCTCCTCTATTCTTGCCCCAACTCGAACTGCCTGTTCCCTCATGTCCTCCTCACCCCTCATCTTCTCCCCTTTTCATTCTCCTAGCTCCCTCTACCCTCTCTTCATTCTCCCAATTTTCTCAGGAGATCTTGTCTCTTCCCCCTTCTCTGGGGCACCATGTATGTCACTCTTAGAGACCTTTGTGTTTCCTAGCTTCTCTGCCAGTGTGGATTATAGACTGGTGATCCTTTGCTCTATTCTAAAATCCATATATGAGTGAGTACATACCCTGTTTTTCTTTTGTGACTGGGTAACCTCACTCACAATGGTTTCTTCTAGTTCCATCCATTTGCCTGCAAATTTCAAGATTCCATTGCCCCCCCATTCCCCCCTCACTGAGTAGTACTCAATTGTGTAAATGTACCACATTTTCTGTATCAATTCTTCAGCTGAGGGGCATCTAGGCTGCTTCCAGTTTCTGGCTATTACAAATAATGCTGCTATGAACATCGTTGAACAGATGTCCTTGTTGTATGAATGTGCTTCTTTTGGATATATGCCTAGGAGTGGAATTGCTGGATCTTGTGGTAGACAGATTCCCATTTTCCTGAGGAATCGTCACACTGATTTCCAAAGTGGCTGTACAAGTTGACACTCCCACTGGCAGTGAAGGAGTGTTTCCCTTTCTCCACATCCTCTCCAACATCCACCCTCTGTCATGGGTGTTTTTGCTTTTAGCCATTCTGACATGAATAGGATGCTATCTTTGAGTTGTTTTGATTTGCATTTCCCTGATAGTTAAGGATATTGAGCACTTTCTTAGTGTCTTTCAGCCATTTTAGATTCATCTATTGAGAATTGTCTATTTAGTTCTGTAGCCCACTTTTTAATTGGGTTGTTTGGTGTTTTTGAGACTAGCCTCTTGAGTTCTTTGTAAATTTTGGATATCAGCCCTCTGTCGGATGTGGGGTTGGTGAATATCTTTTCCCATTCTGTGGGCTGCAGTTTTGTCTTACTGACTGTGAAAATAGACAGGTAGATCAATGGAATGGAGTTGAAAACCCTGATATTAAACCACACAACTGCGAACACCTGATTTTTGACAAAGAAGCTAAAGTTATACAATGGAATAAAGAAAGTATCTTCAACAAATGGTGCTGGCATAACTGGATGCTGGCATGTAGAAGACTGCAGATAGATCCATGCCTATTGCCATACACAAAACTTAAGTCCAAATGGATCAAAGACCTCATCATAAATCCAGCCACACTGAATCTATTAGAAGAGAAAGTGGGAAATACACTTGAAAGAATTGGTATAGGAGACCACTTCCTGAACATAACACCAGTAGCACAGACACTGAAATCTACCATAAATAAATGGGACCTCCTGAAATTGAGAAGCTTCTGTAAGCCAGAATACCTTTCTATCTGAGCTGTAACACTCAGTATTCTTTGGCTCCTGAGTTCCAGAATCCCTGTCCATCCTATCTGAGCCACCACAATGCTTATACTAACTGTCCATTCACCTTAGCCCATTTTGTGAGCCCCACACCTGAGTGAGATTACCCTGTCTCAATAATCAAGGTAAATGGCTTCTGAAGAACAGCAGGAACTCTGATTTCTCTGTGCATATAGACACATCCAAACACACACACACACACACACACACACACACACCTAAATAATGTATGATTATAATACTACTTGTTTTCTGAAATCTTTTATATCTCTGAGTTTTGAAATTTTACATTCCATTTTTTTCTCTTATTTTTTATTAGTTCAAATTAGGAACAAGCTTGCTTAACATGTCAATCCCTTCTCCCTCTCCCTCTCCCTCCCCTCCCCTCCCCCAACCTATATTTCATTTTTAAATTTTATTTATTTATTTATTGTTTTAAAGGTGTATTTTAACTTTATGTGCTTTGGTGTCTTGCTTGCATGTGTGTCTGTGTGAAGGCATTGGATCCCCTGGAACTACAGTTACAGACAGTTGTGAGCTGCCACATGGATGCTGGGAATTGAACCTGGATCCTTGGAAGAGCATCCAGTGCTCTTAACCACTGAGCCAATCCTCTGACCCTTACATTCCATTTCTTATGAAGATAAGATTTATCATAATAGCAATAAATCACAGTAGGAGCTATCAAGCTTGTAGTTTAAATTTATTTTATTTCAGTACAAATGTAAGAACAAATGCAAGAAAAATGAGCATGGGCTAAAATATCTGCAGAGACATTTCACATAAAATAA